TTCATTCAGAGTCAATTTCAACTTCACAGCGAATGATATTGAACTCGAAACAACACAAGATTGGATTTCAACTTCACACCGAAGGTTATCCAATTCAAAGGTCAACTCACAGCAAAAGGGCAACCGTTTGTCGACAAATAACTTTCCAAGCTTCGTTCAGAGTCATTTTCAACTTTACAGCGAAAGATATTGAACTCGAAAGAGATGCAATTTACAAATGTGGATTTTAACTTCACAACGAATGACGTCCAATTAAAATCTCAATTTCACAGCGAATGAGCCATCCACGATTTCAGCTTCGCGAAGAAGGATATCGTGCATGATGAAGTGATTTAGTGTCACAACAAACATGCCATCCACAGATTCGGCTTCCTTAAGTCAATGATTAAAGCTTCTGAAAGGATTTCTTTAACATGCATGAACAAGTAGATTATTGATCACCTTTGAGATTGTTTCTCTCGAAACAATGGGTCGTCTCGCTCAAGACTAATTTACTCAAAACAAAGTTTTGTCTCTCTTGAGACAGTTTCTCTTAAAACAAATTTTATCTCTCTTTAGACAATTTCTCTTATAGCAAATTTTCTCTCTCTTGAGACATTTTCTCTTAAAACAAATTTTATCTCTCTTGAGACAGTTTCCCTTGAAACAAAATCTTTGAATCTATTTTCCTTGAAGCAAATTTCGTCTCCCTTGAGATAGTTTCTTTTGGAACTAAGTTTTGGCTCTCTTTAGACAGTTTCTATTGAAACAAATTTTGTCTCTCTTGAGACAGTTTCCCTTAAATCAAATTTTGTATCTCTTGAGACAGTTTCTCTTGAAACAAAATCTTTGAATTTGTTTTCCTTTAAACAAATTTTGTCTCTCTCGAGACAGTTTCTTTTGGAACTAAGTTTTGTCTCTCTTGAGACAGTTTCTCTTGAAACAAATTTTGTCTCTCTTGAGACAGTTTCCCTTGAAACAAAGTTTTGTCTCTCTTGAGATAGTTTCTCTTGAAGCATCAACCTTTGAAATTGTTTCTCTTGAAACACAAAAAAAAACCTTTGAAAATGTTTCTCTTGAAACACCAAACCTTCGAGTTCAGTTACGCTCAGCTCAAAGGCATATCATTTGCAGCATAACTTAAGTTGGGAAAAGCTATATGTCAACGAAGACCTTTCGAGTTCGATCTCATTCAGCTTGAGTGCCTATCAACCACTTGGTGAAGTCAAATAATTATTTTCCAGTTGAATTTTCAAACCAAAGTCTTTAAATCGAGAAGAAGACCGGAGCTGACTATAATTTGACAACGAGAAACCATATTCCGATTCAAATTCTGAATTACGACTTCAATTCCATTTCAAGATGGACCCGACTTCGCAACTATGGAGCCATTCACAACTCAAGCTCATGACGAGGGAGTCATTTCGTGCTTCAATTCAAATTGACAAACCAGTTTTAATATCGGATTTCAACTCTACGACAGAGGACATTCGATATGGACGAAATTTTTGTCTTTTAATCTTTTCTCTATTTTCATTACACGATAATGAGCAAAGAGGGGCAACTGAAGACACCAAATTTTGACCAATTAATATTGTTATATTATATAATTACAAATTATATTATATAATAATGTTTACATTTATTTTTTTACAGATTGGTAGCCCAACAGTGACCAGTAACACGTGGCCCAACAATGGTCCGAAGTGAAGCACTTGAACCGGTCTGCTTGTATCTCCGCCCGAACCGTCTGTAATCTAAACCGGTGATCTAGGGTTTGGGAACCCTAGTTTCCCATCCTATTTCTAGCCGTATCCCACTTTCCCCTCAACCAACGCCGCTCCTCGCCCAACTCAGTCAACCATCGCCGAGTTCCACGCCGGATTCCTCGGACACCACAACCAACAAGTATTAGAGTTCTATTAGGATTCAAAATAAGTCTAAAAATAGCATAGATTTAGACGGTAAATGTTGATGTAATCAAACCCATTAGTCACGGAGAATATCATAGAGAGTACACTACGATTTACAGAGGAAATACTCGAAAAATTACAAGGCAAATCGGAGTTATTGTAAACGCTTTGAAAGAAAATAAGAGAAAGGTAACATTTTGTTACGTTATTTCCGTTTGTTCTTCGCATACATTCGACGTTGTTTGACTTGCTTCGACCCACGAAGCTTTTGGCCGATGAGTTTTTAGGGGAGGGACCGAGATTTTGATCTCAGATCTACCCTCCCCCGAGGCTGTTTTGTAAAAACCGTTCGGATATTTAAAACAGGGAGGGGAAAAGCTTTTAAAAAATCAAAATTTTTCCAAGTTTTACCGTCGATGAACAGCGGCCGGCGAGGCGGCGCAGGGCGACGTAAGGCCGGTTTCTGGAAATGTGCGACAATTTGTTCTTGAATATCAAGAACACTTGAGAGAATTTAAAACCTAGGGGGGCTTCTTTTTGAAACATGAGAAGAATGAAGAAATAATTTTTTTTAAGTTTTATACTAAGACCCGTTGGACCCGCGTGTTGACCCGACCCGAAGCCCCTAACCCGCGCGTTTTTAACCCAAAATGGGTAAATCCTCGTTCTATCCCTCTGATTTTTCAAAGCTCACGTTATCACCTTAAATCATCATTTTTCCTTTGATTGGCTTCGCATTTGACCCTCTAATTTGGATTTTATTTCAATTTGGTCCTATATAATTAATCTATATGTTCCTATTTATCTTGTCGCTTATTCTATTTATTGTTTTTATTGTAATTTATTTATTTTTATGTGTTTTCATTTCATTTTTTTCTCATGTAAATATATCTATTATTATTATTACTCTTTTTTACTACATAATATTATATATATTTACCATTTTTTTATTTCCATTACGTTATTCAATTCCCTTATTTATTTTTATTTCATTTATTTTTGTTTCTATTTACTTATTCATTTTATTATTATTATGCTTTTCATTTTATTTATTTTCCTTATTATTGCTTCTTTTATTTTCGTTTCTTTTATTATATTTATCTCATTTATTTATTTCTTTTACCTTTTTATTTACTTTTCTACTCATTTCATTTTATTTTCTTTATTTTAGTCATTTTCATTACTTTATCATCTAGTACATTTCCAGCTTTTAAGGGTATATTTTTAATCATCTGAGGTAAGTAATTAGGATCAAATTTTACTTTTTAATTTTAACTTTCAATTATCTTAATTAAAGACAACTAGAAATTACATAGTACCGAAAGGGCAGTTCAAGGGTGTTAACCCTTCCTTGACTGTAACCGACTCCCAAATCCGACGTATCACTGGTAAAATGCAGATCATATAAGAAATAAGGTATTCGGTCAACCTATTTATTTTTAAATAAATGATCGGTGACGACTCTTAATCCATTTTCCTAAGTCGAAGCCCAATTCTTGGTCCATTCGAAAGACGGTTCCGACATTAAGTTAATATAAGAATAAATTATATTTTTAATTTAAGATAAGATTAAAATATATTTTTAAATTAAAATAAGAATAAAATATATTTTTAGGATACGAAAAGAATAACATATATTTAATAAGTTAAGATAATTTTTTAATGTTAATATGTAAAATTAATTTAATATGTGAATTTAAATTAAGATATATAAAATATTAAAAATTTAAGTTTACACTAATATACAACATATATAATAAATGTAGTCAATTTTGTTCATATAACTAGTTTGGCTCAATGGTTGAGCCTTGCTTCTTCAACCTAAGAACCATATGTTTGATTCCTCCGGAGGGTGACACATGTCACCTTTTGATTGGTGGAAAAATATATTAAATTAAATTAAAATTAATCGTTCAATTGAATGGTGACACATTTCATTACACTTGGCACGAGTGTCATATGACACCATTTGATTTGAGATTAAGTTTATTTTTAATTATTTATTAAAATTAGGACCAAATTGATAGAATATATAAGTAACAGTGACCAAATGCGTGTTTTAACTGTCACGTCATCAGCTTCTTCGTTAAATATTAATAGAAAGTGGCTTAACTGAATGCATTTAAATAGTTGAGTGATCTGATATACAAAATTTCAAAAATGGTGGTCAAATGAAAAGAGGCAATAGTTAGGTGGTCACTAGTATAGTTTATCCTTTATTTTAAATAATTTACCTTTATATTTTTAACTAATATATAATTTATAATTATACGTTGAGCCCTTTAGAATTTTAGATTTTTATAAATTAAATTAATAATGTTAATCATTAATGATGCTCATCGATGCTCGTTGAACGTGGTATAATTTTTCAACTTTTTTTCTCTTTATGGTATTGTTGACTTGATATTTTCCATATTTTAGATTTCTTACATTAAACTTAGGGTAAACTAGCTATTTGGTCACTCACCTATTTCTTAGTTTATGTTTTGGTTACCTAACTATTATTTTTCAAATCATATCTAACATTACGTTTTGATCACCTGTCGTTAAAAAATTAAGGACAATACTTGCATGTCATCATAAGATAATGTCACGTCAGCATCACCATTAATTTTTTAGCAATAGGCGACAAAACATAACCAAAACATTAGATATAATTTTAAAAATAATAATAGTTAAGTGACCAAAACAAAAATTAAATAATAGGTGGTGATCAAATAGGTAGTTTACCCTTAAACTTAGTATGTTAGACATGAAATACCCTGTTTTCTTAATTTGTACTAAAAATATTAAACAATGTTAGGGACGAGTAAATCCGTTTATGCATGTAACATGAAAAACATTTAGCATGATATTTAATGTAAAAAGCAAAAGAAAAGTAAATATCGTTGGTGGATGATGAGATGAATCGATGAAGGAATTATCCGACGGGGACCATTACAAATTTGACACCTTGATTTGATCCGTTTCCTTTGTCATTTTCCCCATGAAAAAAAACCCCTGAAAGATAAGGACTTTGGGTGTTTATATATAAGCAGGGTTTTGCAGGAACAAAGACAATGCGATTTGATAATTTGTTTTTTTGTTTCATCTGTCAGAGTTGTGAGCTTTAGATTTTCAGACAGAGAGCATGTGGAGAAGGAAGAAGAAGAAGAAGACAGTAGCCATTGGTAAATATACCTCTTCAGGCTGTTCCTCGTAGAGGATTCTGTAGGAGGTTTAAAGGCAAGTCATTTGAGGCAAAGGGAAGGCTACGCCTTTCTGATTTTTCATTTTCATTTCTGGATCTTTGTTTTGGATTCTGAGCTGAGAGATTCAGCTCAAAATGCATCAAAGAAGTCCAGATTTCTAGCTGTTTGATGAACAAAAATGGGGTCTTTCTGCTGTTTCGGATTATGAATAATTGTTCACCATCAATATACTTGCAGATATTTCATGTTCAACACAAAATCTCTACTTCCTTTCATCTCAAAAGAACAGAAGGTATCATACTTATCAATTTCGAAGTCCGACATAATTATGCCATATAATTCGATTCTCAATATTCGTCTCGATAAGCCTGTTCTAAAAAAATGTTTACTGCAAAACTATGCACCCCATTCTCTGAAGGGGGGATTATCACCTAGCTCGAAATAATCAACTTACTCGTTTATCATCTTATTACCGTTGTTTTTTTCGTCAACTCTAATTCCCGTTCCGCAATAAATAGAAGGCGACTAGGTCCGGCTGCAGAATTCAAGTTCTAGAGTTCTAGACTCTTTTTCATAGCCTCATAAACCAAATATGTAATGCTTGCAGCTGGGACAACCTTCAGAAGATTAGGAAAAAGTCCTTTGTAAAAACCTCTATAACCTTCATTACGAAGGGTTTTCCAAAACACATCAGACATTCCATTATATGCAGCATCCGCGGTAGCACGTTGAGCTTGCATTCTGGGGAAACATGCAAAATAAACCTCGGTAATAAAGAACGATGATACGGTTAACCTGATTACCAGACAGGATTTCTAAACATTATAATTGTACCTAGTTCTAATAACCTGCAAAGGATAAACACAGGTTGCTCCCAAAGCTCCAGAAATTGTTCCACAGCCCAATTGCACAATAGGACCGGGTTCTATAGAAATATGAAAGAGTCATCAGAAAGCTTTTGAGTAACAAATTCAGAAGAAACTCCCAGGTTAGTGAAAAATAGGGAACCGAAAAAGGAAATATATATAAAGAAAATATATATAGATGAAAGCAAATAGAAAAGTACCACTATCTTGAAGAATATATGACCTTGAAATATCTTTCAAGGATTCATAGACGGTAAGGTCGATGCCAGCGTATGGGATGATCCCAAGAAGAGATGGCACGAGACCTTTATAGAATGCTCGAGGTCCCTCCTGAACCCATATATCCTTTGTTAATTTCGCCAACTTTGGTGGCTTTCCACCTTCAGAAGCACAAGTCTGTAATCGAGTTTTTACAAGATCCATTGGGTAGATAGCACATTGTGCCACGGCACCGGCTAAACCACCGGCAAGAAGTCTCCCGCTGGTACCAACATCACCACTCTTATCCCCTGTACTGTCTCCTATTACATTCTTTAACATTTCATATGCATAGAACTTTATAGCACTTTCAGGAGCTACCTTGACAACATTTAACCCATTGCCTCGGAAAAACCCCAAAACACCATCTTCCTTCAATATCTTATTTACAGCTGACAGAATATTAGTGTTTGTAGTTTGCACTTGTAAAACAACCTTGAGCCGATCGAGAGGAGCAGTTGCAGTGCGAGAAGCTGCTCCAGCTATTCCTCCTGCAATAAAATACTTGCTTCTCTTAACATGTGTACTGATGCCCTGAGGAATAACAGCCGTTTCTCCGATATCTACAAGGCAAACCTTTTCCCAATGATGATAGATGTTCTCCATGGTAGCTTCATGAGGATAGAGTAAAAGGAAATCCCTCCATTCTTCAAATGTTATAATCCCATTGTTGTCCTTATCAACATGCTCTACGAATCGTGCAAGCTCCTCATCATCGATATGAATCCCTGCAAAATAAAAACTGCCAGGGCTTATAAGATGAAAAACAACTGTTAATTGCTAGCATGAAAACTACCAGCCACACAACATCCAGCAAAACAAATGCAGATATCAAGCCCGGCAAACCTTCCCTTCAATGGTGACAAACTCCCCTGAAACCTGACATAGATTCTTAGTTTCTTAACCGTAGGATTAGATAAGACACCTCAACAAATGCAGATATGTTCATAAAAGAAATATAAAAAATCACAGATTCTCGTTTCATGATGATTTTAGAGGAAATAAACACCTGGAAGAAGGTCCTTTAAAATAGCATGAAGCTATAGTTCAGATTTCAGCTCAGCAAAAACTTTGGTTTCGGAATATTTGTAACATAAAAACACAAGTTTGAACAGGAGAACATCAAAATAAAAAATAAATCCCAATTCGCTTCTGTTGATTTAAGAACTAAAACACAAAGTTTAATATATCTGCACCACGGGACACGCATCTGGTGTGTGAAACTTTATACCCTCTCATAAACTTACATCGAGATTATTTCAAACAAAGGCCTTTCATAACAAAATGATGAAGGCAGCTTTCTAACATCTAACCGTAACCTATTCCGGATTCCATTCAGAAATTAGAACAAGACAAGGCATTCCCACAACTAGCAATGCAATCTATTTTGAGCAACATACACTGGCAGAATTCAAATTGCCAACCAAAGGAATGCTTTCGGATTAAATACTTCCAATGCTGTATACTTTCCTTACATGTACCTACCAGATGTTCCAATTATGAGCACAATGAAAGCGATTTCGCAATGTTAGAAGTTTTCTGAGCCAAAAGGGTATTAAAAAGATGGAAAACAACATACGATCTCTCAATTTGTAAGCAAACAACCACAAATCGTTCAAACTTTATAATGATTTCGCTATCGACCCGAATCAAAGCAACAACCTCACCAAACCAATAAAACATATCAAAGTTAAGAAAGTCCAACGATTATAAATAATACAAAAACAAAGAGCATAGTATACCGGCTTTAACAAGCGCATCCCAAAGCTCCTCAGGCAAAATGCAGCCATTGTGTTCCACGTCAATAGCTTGGAAAATCCTATAAAGTTCAAGCTCTTTATCATCCATATACCTTTTGAATTCCTGATAATCCACGCGCCCATCTCTGTTGGCATCACAAACTTTCAACAGATCGTTGGCGTACTTGTACTCGGCCGGAATCTGCAGCGCCGACAGACCCATTTCGATCTGAGCATAATCCAAGAATCCCACATTGGCCGCATCGAAAAAATTGAACAGACTCCGAATCCTCAAATCCCTTTCTTCCTTCGTCTCGCGTAATGCCAGGAGGACATGATCCATTGTGACGGGTCCCGGCTTTTTGACCGGGTTGCTACATTCGGGTTCGGGTTTCGCCTCCATTTTAAAACGTTAACGTTTCTAATCACCTTAAGCCGAATTTCACCTATTTTTCAGCGAACGTCGTCTCTTGGGACTGTTCTTCTCCGCAATCATGGAGGTTCCTAAGGAAAAAGATCTGTTTTTATAAAATCGGTAACAAAGAATATAAGAAAGTAGTCTTTTTCCTTGGTTTTTTACAGGGAGAGTGCAGACAATATACCCAGAAATAAATTAAGGAAAGGATCCAAAAAATTGACTCGTATTAGTCAGGGGGAAAAAAGACAGAGACTTTTCTTTTGGTAAAGGCGGTCAAAAAAAGAAGGGAAATTAGAGTGTCGAAATTCCAAAGGAACAGCAACAGGTTTACAAAATCAAATGAGAAATGAGATGAATTCCAAGTTTTTTCTCCTATTTTCCAGAGATAAAAATGAATCGAAGATACAATAACAGAGCCTGATTGAATGAAGGAAAGGTAACGGGAGAGAGAGATAGAATTTACAACAAAGAAAATGGGAAAATACACGTGCAAGATTATTGAAGGTTGAAGAAAGAGAATGGTTCCAATCTCAAACTTCCAGAGAATAATGAGATAACACGTATCCCCCCCCCCCCCCCAAAAAAAAAAAAGCTCTCTGAAGAATCAAATATTAATTCCCTTTCCCCAAAAAACAATAAAAATTTATGGTGTTCGAGAGCCCATGTCAGATATATAATTGAAATTAAAAATAATAATATGCGAATCATCATCGATTGTTATCCATGTAATAGAGTTCACAATCATAGATTGATTTCATCTGACCACAATTATCACATAATATTTACAATGATCATAATTTCACATAACAAGCGTTTATGAACAACTATACTAAGCTCCGATACCAAGTAACATTCGAATAGTAAAGATAAAAAATTTCGATATCACATGGTATCGGTAATGATCCCTACCATACAAGTAACATGATATTATATTATCTCACATAGCATATGTCTCAAGTTATCTGATTTCATATAATATTAGGCTAAGTATTCATTGGTAATTCAACACCCATCAAGACTAGTAAGTGTTACAATCATATTTGTCACATAAAAACATCAATAAAAGATCTCTAACACAAATATTAATTCACGGTCAACTGAATGAGGCATTTCCTCTCATTTCAAACCGAGGCTCATTTTCACTCACTTTTAGAACAATTAAGCAAAGCATGTCAGTCGCTATTAACTTATAACATTGAAGTATTAATATTTCTACTTTTTACACAATTTACCACTAGACTTACGATATGTCTTACACAATATCGAGTTCCTTGTTTACTTATATTTTCGGGGTATTTTCAAAAATTTATCCACCTACGGGTATTTTGTTCATTTCTCACAGAATTCTTGATTACATTAGCACATTTAGATATCCTATAGGCTTAATCACTTACCACATATCATACTTTGTCCTGTATACAATTAGAAAAACCTTTAACTTTTTGAAGTTTGGAGATAGATACAAGGTAGAAGGTATCAATACTTAATCTTAAAATATCAGTATTAACTGTAGACTTGATGTTTATTTGATTCTTAAGGGTATTGATACCCCATATGAGTATTGATACTCTCCCCTTGGATATTGATATTCCTTTGAATATTTATGTCATTTTAGCTTCAAAGTATTAATAAAATATCCGATATCGATACCCTACACTCGATATCGATACCCAATGAATAATATTGATATTGTCATGAATAGTATCGATACTCTTAGTTATTTTCGTCAAGTCTTCTTCACACATTCAAGAGGTATCGATATTATTTTTCAAATATCAAAACCAAAGTTTAAAAATGATCATTTTCGAGCTAGAGTTTCTAAACACTCTATTTCAAGCCCTACTTGATTTTTAAGGCTCGTCGGTCACCTAGGGTCATTTAACATCAATTGAACACATGTTAAACAACAATTGTTGTAATTTAAATCCAAAACAAGTATAACACTTCAAACACTCAACATCCTCACACTGTTCAAACTCAAAGTATACGTAAATCTCACAGGCAAATGTTTGTATACCAATCTAATTTATTCAATGCAAAGAATGGCTTATATAAGCCTTACAGACTCTCAGAAACAAACTAACTGACACTACACACTAAGTGGCAAAAATAAACTAACTGACACTACACACTAAGTGGCACTAAAATAGGAGTAAATAAAGCAACTAATAAAAGACCCATTCAACCCTATAATATAGGAGCATTATTGACACGTAAATAACTAACATTCCCTCCCTTAAGCTTTAGCTTATTTCAGTAACTTTAACTACACCAAGTTTGTGTTTGAACTTCTCAAATTGATCGAGCTTTACAGCTTTAGTCATCACGTCAGCCACTTGTTCATTAGTATTGCAGTATTTCAGTTGAACTTGTTGAGTTAAGCGATTAACAGAATCAACCAAGAAGGGGGTGAATTGACAATTAAAAAGTTGGTGGAAGCTTTTGCAGAAAATTAAAAGAAGTTGCACAGCGATTTAGAGTGGTTCGACTTTCTCAACCAAAGTCTACGTCCACTACCTTAGCTATCCACACTAAGGATTTTCCAACAAATTCACTAATTTGTTCTTTCTTTTGAGGCCAAAGAGATAACCTTACAACTCCCTCAAGAATATACCCCAATTCTTGAGAACACTCTTTCTCAAAGAGAAATACACAAATTTGCAAACTTACAAGGAAAAACCTCACAAGGTAGATTGTTTGCACAATTCTAGAACAAATAAAAGAACACTCAAGAATGAATATAATTGAGTACAAGTAGTATTATTGAAAGCAAAATTAATATTGAATGAAAAATAGGCTTGAAGTGCTCAAACAATGAGTTTGATGCTTTCTCTTTGATTCTCACTTGATTCTTGTTTCTTGTTGTTGATTAATGGCTTCTAAGCTTGTTTAAATACTCCTTCAATTGATTCTGAACGTTGGGAATGATTAGTGGAGTCAATAGAGCCGTTTAAGTGTGAAAACAATTAATAAAACTGGTTGGGAGCATGCGTGTATCGATGCATACACAGGGTGCATCGGTGCATCAAGTGTAAAATTCAAATATTTTGACCGTTGGAACACTTAGTGCATCGGTGCACTAAGTGTGCACTAAGTGTGCATCGATGCATAAAATGTATTCGATGTTTCAAAATAGCCTGAGTGCATCGATGCATGGCTGGTGCATCAAATGCATTCGATGTTTTCATAAATCCCTGAGTGCATCGATGCATGGTATGTGCATCAATGCATGAAATGCATTCAATGTTCAATTTATTCCATGGTGCATCGATGCATGGATTGGTGCATCGGTGCATCACATTGAAAAATTGATTTTAGGCTTGATTTTGGTTCAAAATACTTTGTGAAAATTGTTTCAAAAATATATTAAGTATAAAACACAATTTTACACATTTAGTAAGGTTTGAAATTGATCATGAAAGACTTGAAGTAATAATTTGATATTCGAGTAATTAAATCGAATATACTTAGAAAAACATTTGTAAAAGCTTAAAATTCATTTATACTTAATTTGTTATATTGAAACATCAAAATGTTTTCAACAATCTCCCCCTTTTTGATATAACAAAACATTTGTGTAATTTTAAGATTTGTTTAAGAAAATTATTTTTGAAATCAATTTTGAATTTTTTTTGAAAAATTACTCCCCCTTACTCTAACACTTTTCTCCCCTTTTTTGTTAAATCAAAAAGACTCTAAAACGTTATTAAACAAGGTTTGAAAAATATACGCCAATTGAGTTATTATTTTAACGTTTAAGTTGATAAGATCACAATCAAAAGAGAGATTAGCCATTAGTTTTCATAAACATGTAAAGGATAATTGGTCATATATGTCTAATGATGCAAAAATTAATAAACATTAAGCTCAAATTGAACGTTAAAACCAAACCAAATATAGATAATAAGCTTAAATATCCAAACATATAAATCATAAATCCAAAAAAACGTCAAACTAAAGAAAACAATCCCAAAGTATTCAAAATGTTTTAACATTTAAAGTTTTAAGTTGTTCCAAAACAAAACAAAGTCTACTTGTCCATAAAAGGATCAGAAGGAGAATGCGGAAATCGTGCTTGCATCTTAAGAGTAAGAGCATCCATACGTGCAAGCATCTCCCTTTGAAACTCCATATATCGAGCTTCCAAATTGTCTAAGCGATGATTTACCTCTTCGTGAGTAGCAGTCAAGTGGGATTCGATGGAAGCATACCGTAGATCAAATGACTCCAAAAACGAACAAAAATATGGAGGCACTTGATCCTCTTGTGGAGCTGGTTCTGGTGCAGGCTCATTATCTGATACGTGATCGTTGATATCTTGCATAAGCTGTTGAAGTTCGGGATCATCGTCAGCAGCCGGAGCCGGAGGAGGATCACGAGAGGAACTAGGAGCAGCTCGTGAAGAACTCGCTCTCGGAGTTTGCTTACCGGGTCGAAAGACCCAAAGACCGGTTTCCTCGTCTTGTTTCCAATCCACTTTCTTTAACGAGGTGAGATTGATTTAATTTTGAAGAGGGATGAGATTGTCGAAAGAGACGTTTAGATCGAGTTTGATAAAAAAAGGTTACTAAGAAGACATCCATAAACTAATGTTTCGATATGTTTTGAAGGAACAATGTTTATGGTATCCACTAGTTGACTAAATATAATGTGGGGTAGATTTATTTTGTTCTTATTCTTGATACAGTGCATCCACCCTAAATCCCTAGTACGAAGAGTGGAGTACCTACCTCCGGATGGTCTAAACCACCAAGAGATCATCAAATAAAGAAAACGATCGTGATGAGATCGTAGAGTACTAACACTAGCGTTTGGAACATAGGGATATTCCATAGTTTCATTCTCATTATATAACCCATCATCATCTAGCCCAAAATGGAAAGCTATAGTTTTGGGGTCAATATTAATATATTGTCCTAAAAGATATGATTTGATTGATATAGTCCCACATTGAGTATTGTTTTGAATATATACCACATTAGAGTAGAAAATGTGAACTAACTGATGATAGAAGATAGGTTTGAGGTGAAACATTTTATCAAACTTCCAAGTTTTAAGATTCGGAAGGTATTTAAAGTCAATATCTATCATGGCTTGAAGAGAAGAATACATTCTTCCTGGATTTTATAAGATTGGAAAGACTCCATGTACCTATGGTACAAGTCGTCTCTATGACGTTTACGCATATCAAAACAGGATCCTATAAGAGATGTAGGTGAATGAGGAACATGATTGGGAGGTCGGTTTGAATGACTAGATGAGGTCCTAGGGCATTTAGGGTTTGACATGGTTTAAAGATTCGTAATAAGGAATATAACTTGCAAATTGAAAAACATGTATGCACAAGAATCAATCCCAAAACTCAATTGAGTCCTCAATAATTCAAGGTTCTCTAAACCGAATCCTAATGGGCATGATTTTGAAAACTATTGAAAATATTATAATATATGTATAGTTTTCATGCAAACAATATAATTAAGTCAAAAACATCAATAAATTTCGAAAATAACAATTTTTTTTAATTTCGAAAATTCAGAAAAATATTGAAAAATTGTTTGTTTTTGACGAAATTAATTATAAAATCTAGTTTAGAATCATAATATAATCAAAGCACGATATAATATTCATCCTAGAACTAATTAAAACTAGTCCTAAGATCAAAATTCAATAAAAGATAGGTTTATAGAAAAATACCTTGAAAATTTCGGATTGAGAGGAATGTAGTGATGTTTTACAAGATTTGATGATAAACGCAGGATATGGAGATGAAATATGAATGAATTCTGATAAAAAATGAAGGTTATGGAGAAATTTTGAGAGAGAGGAGAGGAAGAGGAGCGGCGGCAGTTTGAGAGAGTTTAAGAGAGTATGAGAAAATAAAGAGAAAATAGGGTTTTTAACCAAAAACCCGACGGATGCATGGCCTTGTGCATCGATGCACATTCAAGGTGTGCATCGGTGCATCGTCATGTACATTCAAAGGGGATGCATCAATGCACTGTCAATTATATCGATGCATTAAGCACAAAAATGTCAAAAATATGTGTTAATCACTCAAAATGCTAAATTAATTAGCTCTAGTGATATTGGCAACTCATATATTGAAAATTAATTATGTTCAATCAATCAAATTTATCTTTAAACATTATTTGAACAAAAAATTAATTTTCATTAAGAATCATAAACTCCCCCTAACTAATAGCAAGAATGCAATAAAAATGTCATTTTTATAAACATTTTTCAATATTAATTAAAAGTGTTAAAACATTTTAAACACTAAGTGAAGATAGGCCAGTTAAACCTAATTCTCTCCTAAGTGTCCAAAATCTTTCTTTATCTAAAGGTTTTGTAAAGATATATGCTAATTGGTGCAAATTATCAACAAATTCTAGAACTACATCTTCCTTAGCGACATGGTCTCTAATGAAGTGATGTCTAATTTCAATGTGCTTAGTTCTAGAGTATTGGATGGGATTTTTAGTGAGACAAATAGAACTAGTATTGTCACACTTGATAGGAATAGTACATGCTTCAATTCCATAATCAAAAAGTTGTTGTTTCATCCATAAAACTTGTGCACAATAACTACCGGCTAAAATGTATTCCGCTTCAGTGGTAGATAATACAACACAATTTTTTTTCTTTAAAAACCAAGAAATCAACATATTTCCAAGGAATTAGCAAGTACCGAAGGTGTTTTTCCTATCTAATTTGCATCCTCCATAATCCGCATCAGAGAAGGCATGCAAGCTAAAGCTAGAGTCTCTAAGATACAACAGTCCTAAACTAGGAGTGTCCTTAAGGTATCTAAAGATTCTCTTAACAGCTAGTAAATGTGATTCCTTAGGGCATGATTGAAATCTAGCACATAAGCAAACACTAAACATAATGTCCAGTCTACTTGCAGTTAGATAAAGCAAAGTGTCAATCATTGACCTATATAATTTAACATCCACACATTTACCTTTTTTATCCAAGTCGAGCTTTGTAGAAGCACTCATTGGAGTGGCATAAGGTTTCCCATTTTCCAATCCAAATTTCTTGAGCATATCCTTGACGTACTTAGCTTGATTGATGAAGATGCCATCTTTTCTTTGCTTGATTTGGAGTCCCAAGAAAAATGAGAGCTCTCCCATCATGCTCATCACGAATTCACTTTACACTAGCTTAGAAAATTCTTGATAAAGGACATCATTAGTAGAACCAAATATTATATCATCAACATAAATTTGAACTACTAATAAATCTTTACCTTTATGCTTTAAAAACAATGTAGTGTCAACCTTCCCTTTTGAAAAGCCTTTTTCAATTAAAAAGTTTGACAATCTTTCATACCAAGCTCTAGGAGCTTGTTTTAAACCATAAAGCGCTTTTGTCAATTTAAGAACATGATCTGGAAATTTTGAATCTTCAAAACCTGGAGGTTGTTCCACAAACACTTTTTCTTTTATAAAACCATTTAAAAATGCACTTTTAACATCCATTTGATATAATTTAAATTCATGAAAACATGCAAATGCTAATAACATTCTAATTGCTTCCATCCTAGCTACGGGAGCGTATGTTTCATCATAGTCTATGCCCTCTTCTTGAGTATACCCTTGAGCAACAAGTCCTTGTTTCTCACTATGTTACCACTCTCATCAAGCTTATTTCTAAATACCCATCTAGTACCTACAGTAGATTTATTACTAGGCCTTTCAACTAATGTCCATACTTTACTCCTCTAAAATTGATTTAACTCTTCTTGCATAGCCATAATCCAATGTTCATCATTTAATGCTTCTTTAATATTCTTAGGCTCTATGCATGAGATAAATGCAACATAATTACAAATATTTCTAAGAGAGGATTGAGTTGTTACCCCTTTGGATGGATCACCTATAATCTCACCATCCTTGACACAGTTGTACTCTCTTGGATAAGATACTTCCCTTTCTTCAATGGTTGGATTCTCGAGAGGATCTTGAGTTTCCTCATCTTTCGTTTCTTCCTTTGATGATGGTTCTCCAACGTCATGTATATTTATAATGCCTACATCATCATTCACACAAGAATCCTTCCTCGGAAGGAGATTATCATCGAAAACAACATGTATAGACTCTTCTACAACTAAAGTTCTTTTATTAAATACTCGATAAGCTTTAGAATTTAAGGAATAACCCAGAAAAATTCCTTCATCACTTTTAGCATTAAATTTGCCAAGATTGTCTTTATCGTTGTTTAAAACAAAACATTTACATCTAAAAGGATAAAATATCTAATGTTAGGCTTTTTATTTTTAAAAAGTTCATATGGAGTTTTCTTTAAAATAGGCCTAATCATTACTCGATTAATAACATAACAAGCGGTATTTGTGGCTTTCGCCCAAAAATATTTTGTCAAATTATTTTCACAAAGCATGGTTCTAGCCATTTCTTCTAAAGTTCGATTTTTCCTCTCAACAACTCCATTTTGTTGAGGAGTTCTAGGTGCTGAAAAATTATGGCTTATACCATTAGAATTACAAAACTCAGTAAATCCAAGATTTTCAAATTCAGTGCCATGATCACTCCTACCACTAGTTATAGAGTAACCTTTTTCGTTTTGGATTATTTTTAAAAATGCGATGAAATTTTCTAATGCTTCTTCTTTAGTACTTAAGAATAGAACCCAAGTATATCTAGAATAGTCATCTACCAAGACAAATGCATATTGTTTTCCACCCAAGCTAGTAGTCCTAGTTGGCACAAAAAGATCTATATGGATCAATTGTAATACTCTACTAGTTGATATATCATTAATGGATTTAAAAGAGACTCGCTTTTGTTTTCCTTTAGCACAAGCATCACAGATTTTATTATTATCAAATTTTAGTTTAGGCAACCCTCGAACTAAATCTCCTTGAATTAGCCGTTGCAAAACACTCATACTAGCATGTCCTAGTCTCCTATGCCATAACCAACTATCATGCTCATCCTTAGCAAATAGGCACAAATTAGTCATATCTATAGAATCTAAATTCACCATGTAAATGTTTTCTATTCTATGACCAATTAGCATAATCTGATTAGATGCAATGTCAATAACTTTACAACCATTAGTTTCAAACATGACATTGAATCCCTTATCACATAATTGACTAATACTCAGAAGATTATGCTTTAATCCATTCACATATAAAACATTCTTAATTTATATGGAAGAGGTATTACCTATTATACCTATACCTTCAATGTGACCTTTTGAATTATCACCAAAAGTCACTTCTCCTCTATTTTTGGTGTTAAGCTCTATGAACCGGCTTTTTTCACCGGTCATGTGTCTTGAGCATCCACTATCAAGGTAACATGAGTTTGAATTTGTTTCCTGTGCCTTGTAGCAATGCTCCTTTTCCTACAAACATAAATTAATTTCTAATTTTTGGTACCCAAATTCTTTTGGGTCCATATTCATTAGTTTCCAAAATCCTAGTTCCCTTAGATATCTATTTGTGTAGGATATCCTTATTTTTAGTAGTAACGAGTCCTTTAGGAACCCATATACTTCTAACGATTTTTTCATTAGAGGTTCTTCGGGGACCTCTATGATTGTAGTTTTTAAAACTTTTTCTAACAAAGTTGGATTTTGAATTTTCTCTATTTTCAAAACGTTTTGTTCCAACTTTATCAAAAGAAGCTTTAAGATCATCAATTTTCTTTTGATGATCATCATTGACCTTTGAAAGTAAATTTTGTAAATCCGAATTTTTCTTTTCAAACTCTTCTAGTTTGATTTACAAATCTTTGATTTTACTTTAAAGGATATGAGTTTATTTTCATTTTTCAATTTTGAAATATCATTTTTATATTTTAAAAACAATTTCTCATAATCCGAAGCCAACCCATTATATTCCTCTAATAACTCATCATAAGATAAATCATCTAAATCAAATGAGTTAGAGGTTACCTTAGAATCTTCCCCGAATGTCATCAAGCACAAGTTTACTACTTCTTGTTCCTCTTCATCGGAACCTTCTTCATCGCTCCATGTAGCTACGTGAGCCTTGTGCTTATTTTTTGATTGACCCTTTCTCTTCAATTTTGGGCAATCATATTTGACATGCCCTGGTTTTTTGCATTCATAGCAAATGATCGGGTCATTCTCTTTTGGTTCATTTTTGAAGCCTTCATTTCGTTTGAATTTTCTTCCTCAGTTAGGCCTCATAATTTTTCTGAACCATTTGGCAAACATTTCCATTTCCTCGTCATCGTTATCTTCATCCGAATCACTCTCATCTTTTGTTGATTTGAGAGCAACTCCCACGTTTTTCTTCTTCTATGTATCCTTCTTTGGCTCGTCTCTTCTCTCAAGGTCTTCCTCTTCTTTAAGCATCATTTCATGCATGAGGAAATAGCCAATAAGTTCATCGAGGGTTAAGGATTTCAAATTCTTAGCCTCGATGATCGCCGTCTTCTTTGATTGCTAAGCTTTTGGAATAGAGTAAACTAACTTTCTTACAAGCTTGTCATTTGAAATGATTTCTCCATATGATTTGAGGCTATTGACAATCGTGGAGAATCTATCCGTCATAGCTTTGACATCTTCATCCGGTTTCATCCTAAAATTTTCATAGCTATGAGTTAGAAGACTAATTTTAGATTCTTTTACCTCGTTTGTGCCTTCATGAGTGACTTGTAGTTTGTCCCATATCTCCTTGGCGGTTGTGCAAGATGAAACTCTCCCGTATTCATCCGGTCCAAGAGCACAAAAAATGATATGGATAGCTTTGGAGTTGAGCTAGAACAATCTTGTATCTCCTTTACTCCACAACCTCGGGTGAGTAGAGGGTTTGATGTATCAATCTGCTATGATGTACCATGCTCCCATGTCACTTGTTTGAATCAAATACATCATCCTATTCTTCCAATAAGAATATTTAGCTCTATTGAATAAATGAGGCTTGTTAACGGGTAATGAATCGAGACCGAAGTCGGAGTTTGAAGTGTCGGCCATTGATGACTTTGAAAATCGATGTAACTCTTCCCGAATCGACTCAAGAAGCGATTAAACCTTCACATGAGTGAGGTTATGATACCAATTTTTGAGTTAATCGATTGAAGAAATCGGCCAAGAGGGGGTGAATTGGCAATTAAAAAGTTGGTGGAAGCTTTTGCAGAAAATTGAAAGAAGTTGCACAACGATTTAGAGTGGCTCGACTTTCTCAACCAAAGTCTACATCCACTACCTTAGCTATCCACACTAAGGATTTTCCAACAAATTTACTAATTTTTTCTTTCTTTTGAGGCCAAAGAGATAACCTTACAACTCCCTCAAGAATATGCCCCAATTCTTGAGAACACTCTTTCTCAAAGAGAACTACACAAATTTGCAAACTTACAAGGAAAAACCTCACAAGGTAGATTGTTTGCACAATTCTAGAACAAAGAAAAGAACACTCAAGAATGAATACAATTGAGTACAAGTAGTGTTCTTGAAAGCAAAATGAATATTGAATGAAAAATAGGCTTGAAGTGCTCAAACAATGAGTTTGATGTTTTCTCTTTGATTCTCACTTGATTCTTGTTTCTTGTTATTTCTTGTTGTTGATCAATGGCTTCTAAGCTTATTTAAATACTCCTTCAATTGATTTTGAACGTTGGGGGTGATTAGTGGAGTCAATAGAGCCATTTAAGTGTGAAAACAATTAATAAAACTGGTTGGGAGCATGCGTGCATCGATGCATACACATGGTGCATCGATGCATCAAGTGTAAAATTCAAATATTTTGACCGTTGGAACACTTAGTGCATCAGTGCATTAAGTGTGCATCGATGCATAAAATGCATTCGATGTTTCAAAATAGCCTGAGTGCATCGATACATGGCTGGTGCATCGATGCATCAAATACATTCGATGTTTTCATAAAACCCTGAGTGCATCGATACATGAAATGCATTCGATGTTCAATTTATTCCATGGTGCATCGATGTATGGATTGGTGCATCGGTGCATCACTTTGAAAAATTGATTTTAGGCTTGATTTTGGTTCAAAATACTTTGTGAAAGTTATTTCAAAAATATATTAAGTATAAAACACAATTTTACACATTTAGTAAGGTTTAAAATTGATCTTGAAAGACTTGGAGTAATAATTTGATATTCGAGTAATTAAATCGAATATACTTAGAAAATCATTTGTAAAATCTTAAAATTCATTTATAGTTAATTTGTTATATCGAAACATCAAAATGTTTTCAGCAGAACTACTTGATCATTCACCAGATCTCTGAGAAAGTGAAATCTCACTGCGATGTTCTTACTTCTTCCATGGAGAATAGGATTCTTAGATAGTTGAATTGTAGAATTGTTGTTACATAAAATTTCGGTGGCTTCTTTTTTTCTAACCCAAGATGCTCCATAATTCTTCTAAGCCAAATGCAGTGACATGCACAAGATGCTGCAATAATATATTCAGCCTCAATAGTAGATAAACTAACTACAAGCTGCTTTTTCGAAGCCCATGATACACTGCAGTTCTTATCATAAATACTGATCCGGAGGTGTTCTTCTATCATCTAAGTCCCCTGCATAGTTGCTATCATTGTAGACTGTGAGACCCATTTTCCTTTCTTTTTGATAGAAAAGACTGTGCTCAATGGTGCCTTTTAAATACCTGAAATTTTGTTTTGTTGCAGCCCAATGTGACTCCTTTGGATTAGCCATGTATCTGCTGATTAGACTTACCCCAAATATCAAGTCTGGCCGTGTGACTGTCGAATACATGAGGCTACCAACATCTTGTTTAAACTTTGTAGAATCTACTAGAGCTCCTTTATCATCCTTGGATGATGTAGTTCCTGGTACAGTGGGATTTCGAATAGAGTTACTCTCTGTCATGTTGAACCAAGCTAGTACCTCATGTGCATACTGTCTTTGACAGATGAAAATTCCTACCTCATTCTGTATTACTTCTATTCCCAGAAAATGTCTCATTTTACCCAGATCGGTCATGTTGAATTCCAGTTGCATTGAGCATTTGAACTCTTCACATATATCTTTGCAATTTCCAGTAAAAATCAGATCATCAACATAGAGACTAATAATCAAAATATTATCATGAACCTTTTTTGTGAACAAGGTGTGTTCACTAGAGCAGCGTACAAATTTTTCTCTGGCAAAATAGGCTTCTATCTTACTGTACCAGGTTTGTGGAGCCTGTTTAAGTCCATAAAGAGCTTTTCTGAGTATGTATACGTGATTTTCTCTGCCTTTCTTGATAAATCCAACAGGTTGTTGAACATACACCTCTTCTTGAAGTTCACCATGTAAGAATGCGCTTTTGACATCGAGTTGGAATACTTCCCATGAACGTTGAGCTGCCACAGCTAACACCACTCGTACTGTGTCAAGTCTAGCCACAGGATCAAATACTTCTGTGTAGTTGATTCCATACTGCTGGGCATAGCTTTTGGCCACTAACCTGGCTTTATACTTCTCTATCTGGCCATGTTCATTGAATTTGATTTTGAAGATCCATTTCACGCCAATGGGTTTAACACCGTCTGGAAGATCTACAAGTTCCCACGTGTTGTTCTTTTCAATTGATTTCATCTCAGTATCCATTGCTTCTCTCCAGTTCTGACTCGTGTAAGCTTCTTCAAAGGATTGGGGATCTTCATAATCGGTTATTATCATTGCCAGTAAGCTCTCTTCTTCTACAGATAGGTTGGTCTCGCAGTCAGACATCCATAATGGTTGTCTCTGGATCCTGGTTGCCCTCCCTTCAATCAGCGGGTACTGAATCTGAAGTTGGCTCGAGTGTTACTGGTTGATCATGGCTGACTGTTATCTGTTGGTATGTAGATTCTACAGTTTCAATTTCCTCAACATCTTTGTCTCCCCAATCAAGAGTAAGATTGTACCTCCATCTACGTGCGCATCCCAATTCCATCTTTTCTTCTTCAAACACCACATCTCTACTTACAATGACCTTCTTTGTAATAGGATCATAGAGCTTGTAAGCTTTTGTCTCATCACTTACGCCCAAGAGAATACATTGTTGGCTCTTTGCATCTAGTTTGCTTCTCTTTTGATATGGAATATGAATATGTGAGACACATCCAAATGTGCGGAAATAATCAACACGTTGCTTCACTCAACTCTACACCTCTTTTGGAGTCCCTTGATCTACTGCAGAAGTTGGACTTCGATTTTGAACATGAACATACCTCCGCACTGCCTCAGGCCAGAAGGATTTTAGAACCTGCTTGTCATAAAGCAGTGCTCTGACTGCGTTCATGATGGTGCGATTCATACGCTCGGTGACTCCATTTTGTTGAGGAGTGTAGGCAGCTATCAATTGCCTATAGATACCGTGTTGATTACAGAAGTTTGAAAACTCCTTGGAATTGAATTCGCCACCTCGATCAGTTCTTAAGCACACAACGTGGGTGCCAGCTTCTTTTTCAACACATGCTTTGAAGCTCTTGAAGGCATTGAACGTTTCGGATTTTGCATGCAAAAAGTAAATCCAAGTTTTACGAGAATAATCATCAACAAAGCTCATAATGTACCTTTTATTACTGTGTGAAGTTGGCAAAAATGGGACCACATACATCAGCATAAATTAATTGGAGTTTCATTGATACTTTTCATGAACTTTGCTTTGGTATGACATCTCTATGCTGCTTCCCCACGAGACAAATAGTACATATATCCTTGGGTGTTTTCAGTAGAGGTGGGTATACGGGCTACCCGCCCGTTTAGCCCGCGAGTTTTGACGGTGCTGGCTTAAACGGAGCGGGCTAAAAAGCCCGCATTCATAAACGGTTTTAAAGTTTAAGACCCGTGGCCCGTCCATTTAACCCGCGGGCTAAACGTGCTTACCCGCGGCCCGTTTAATAAAAATATTTTTAAATGCTTTAAATGCAATAAAAAATAATGTTTTAGCTTACTACGCCTTTAAAAATGATCGAGCAACTTGAAAATGAAGGTAGCACCGTCAAAATAATAAATATTTTTTATTTTTTATTTTAAATAGCCGGAAATGATTATAAAATAATATTTTTTTAATTTTTTTAATCATTAATATATATATATATATATATATATATATATATATATATATATATGATATAATTACTTAAACTCAAATTAAAAAAACAATATTCACTTATATCACCAAATTTAAAAACAAATAAAACAATAACCACATTATACTTTTATAAAACACGATTATCCAAGGCTATAATATGAAGACACAAAAGTCTCTGAAAGTAGAAATTCAAACATAAAAATTCA